ATCTTAAGCTTTCTTTTTTCATGGTTCACTGGTACTTCATTTGAGGTACTCTACGGTCTTTTATTTGTGAGCAATTCAACTCAGGTGTCAATTGCGTTCATTTTTTGCATAGGGTTTAAACTTGAAACAAATTGCAGAAACATGGCAAGTCGTTCAAAATGGTTACCGAGATACATGGTCAATCCGTATCTAGAAAGCGCAGCAGAGAGTTCGTTGCAGGTTATTATTCCACTGATTTTTCTTTATTTTTTCAAGTTGTGCCACTGAACGAGTCAAAAATTGGAAATCGAAAATTATATGTGATGGAAAAATTAGATATTAATTTTGTTGCAAGTGTTTTTGAATTATTTAACGAATTTTCTTAGTTTCTTTGCTAACATATAACGCCTATTCCGTAGATATTTAGTGAATTGCCGAGGATCGGATTTCTGTGTCCAAATTTTGCAGAAATTAATTTTCCTCGAAATTCATTACTGTCGTTTCGGCTTGAATCGTTCGCAGAATTTGAAGTGGATGTGAAAAAATTGTTTTGATTACCAGTAAAATAAATGAGCTGATAGTGCTCGTTTAATCCGTCACAAACATATTGGAATAATCACTTTTTTTTCAATTATCCACCAAATTCTTTTTTGAGTGGATTCTTATGTATTATACTAGGTGAAGTACCGTTTTTTTTGCATGTGAGGAATTCCTTGATTGAAGGTAACGGAGAGTTGGTTGAATGACAAATCGATCAGATATCTCGAGAAGATTTGTGGAAGGCGATCAGAAGATGACGATTGTCATGGTGGTGCGTACACAGGAATCGGTGGTATAGCCTACGCTCTTATTAGAGCCGCAGATTCGTTTCCGAGTCAACAACGGACCTATTTGCAATTGAGCGATCGGTTGCTCCAAAAACATCTCGATTCAGCCGCTAAGGTATAATAAAGGAATCATTTTGTTGATTGTAAACATCACGGAACCCAGTATGGTTACTGTCTGATAGCATGCAAACGGTATTGTCATAATCGAAACGATAAAGAATGAAGTAAGGGAATTCGTATGCTAAACCGTATGTGCCTCATATGGCTGTGATAGTATCACTCCGGCTCACGCAAGTCATTTTCTGTTGGTATACAAAACCGGACCTTTCTACTCATGGTAATCCAACTCTTTTTACTCGATTCCGTTCATCTTTTTAATCGTTTGGTGACTTCATTACGAATGTTACTGAATTTCAATTTTTAATGTATTCTTGTAGTATTCAATCAATAACACCGATTGTTATCAAGTCAGCTGACCATCTCCGTCTCGTTGCTTTATTAGGGTTTCAGCCCAATTATGTTCTCTGTCTGATAGATGTTCATGTTTTGCTGAATTGTTTCGAGTAGAAACAATGAATTCTTCACATGGAAATTCATGGATTTTTTCAGCATTCAGACAGGCAACGCGAAAGTCGTTTCTTGCTTGGTACGTTAAGTGTTTATGTGGTACGAGTGTTATACGACCTGAGGCAGGGTCAGACAAATGATGATGTTTTGAAACGTATTCATCGTATCGGTCAATTCGCTCTTCAGGACGGTTATCAAGGTGACGGAGATGATGAAATGTTGGCTGGAAGAGCTGGCTACCTTGCAGCTGCTCTCACTCTGAGGTTTCTATTCTATCTGCTGCAGAATTTTGACTGCTCAAAATCAGAATTTTTTGTTTCTGTGGTTGTTGCTTCATTATCACGAGTAATTTGGTCGAGCGTATTAGAAGGTTTTGCGTCTTTTGTTGTTTTTCTATCGAATGATAAGGTAGTATGGATATTGCGATTGTTGCTGAGGTTATCGCCATTTACGACGGATTCGTTTCCTGAAGATGAACGAATGAAGGCGTGCATAACAGCCAGACCAGTTCGACGGTTTATTCCGAACGGTAATGAGTTGATCGATGCGATGATTCAAATGAGTAAGGATGAAGGTTGTAGATTGGCAACGAAGAAAGATTTGATTGAGTTGAAAGACGTTCAAGCAGTTGTGAATAAAATGATCGAATCTGGCCGAAAATACGCTCAAGAGAACGATTCACCAACACCTCTGATGTATCAATACCATGGTCGAGAGTACCTCGGCGCTGCACACGGTCTCATGGGAATACTTCAAATGCTGCTCAGGTTACACTTTTTAATTTGTAATTTCTCTGTTGTTTGTGGCCCAATTTGCTCTTATTGATTGCAGTTAATTGCTTATAATCAATCATTCATTTATTCGTTTACAGTTTCTCGGATTTATTGAATGAATCGGCAAAGGACGACATCAAAACGACACTTGACTGGATAGTTTCGACACAGCAAAAGGATGGCAACGTCGCATCGAAAGTTGACGAAGTTGATGTGGATAGAGGAGAGAATGAATTAGTTCACTGGTGTCACGGGGCCACGGGAGCAGTCCATCTCTTCATCGTTGCTTATATTTCCTTTCGAGACGAAAAATACTTGAAAGTAATCTGAATTATCGTTTTCTATTGAAATTTCTATTTGGATTGTCCATAAAAGGATGTTAAGAAAACAAGAGAAATTTTGCAATAGTTTAGATGTTTNTCTTGATGGACTCTTGCAGGCAGCAGAGCGTGCTCTCGACCTCATATGGCGCAAAGGTATGCTGCTCAAAGGTCCCGGAATATGTCACGGCGTGGCTGGAAGCGGTTATGCATGCTTGTTGTACTATCGTCTAAGCAAAAAACAGGTCATTTTTGTCATTCCTCTATGCTGTTGATCAGTGGAATCGTAGATAGAGGAAATTTCAGGGAGAATGAAATCACACTTAATTTGTCAGATTGTTTATATCGCCCAGTTCGTTGAAATTTTTTGAGTTTAAGTATTGTTATTCATTTAGTTTGTTCCGTAAGGGAACAAGAAGTCATTCAGGAATAATCTATGACATCGATGAATTCTGAGTTATTGTTTATAAGATGATTTCAGATCCATCAGATTTATTCATTTTCAGTATTTTATTGACAGCAAATGTAATTTTTTTCATTTGTGCAATATGAACCCATTAGATATCTGAATAATGTTAATGATTTGAATTCGATACTGGAATAATTTATTATCTTTCCAAAACCATTTCGAATTGTGATTGAGAGATCTTCTCATCATCTGCTCAGTATAATTTTTTAGTCATCCTAAATTATTGAAATATAATTTGATTTTAGTGAGCCTGTTGGAGAATGATGAGCATTTTCGGAATAAATTCATATATTCGCACATGTTGCAGCTTTATCTGGATCGTGCTCGTTGTTGTGCGTTGGTGTTGTCGAGTAAAGATTTTAAACGAAATGCTCGAACACCAGATCGACCATTTAGTCTGTTTGAGGGGATCGCAGGTACAGTGTGCTTCTTGTGTGATCTAGCTGAACCTGATTCAGCTCAATTCCCGCTTGTACCAATTCCTTTTCCTGAAACATCCTGAAATAAGAACAAGTTGTGAACACGGCAAAGTGGGAAAATCGATATATTTTCCCATATACATGCTGACTTTGCAAAATTTCATCGATTCTCCAATAAGTTATTGCAGTTTAGTTCCACCAGATTGCATCACCCTTTTAA